GAAAGATGATAGTCCCAGGAATAGGTGAGGCCGCCCGCCCTTTTGGTTCTTTAGGTTTTTGGTAGACCGCTTCAAAGCAAGGTTCTGATTGTAGCTCAACTCAAATCTGGGCGTGTCTCGAAAATTGAAACCCCCTGTTGGACGCGTTTCTTTTTCTTTGCCTTTGGCCTTGTTGGGGTACCCTTACAAGAAAGGACACGCCCGCAGCTTTCTCGCATTTGAACATCACTGACCAGCCAATGTTGTCAAAGATTTCTGGGCTGGGAGCTCCTTCAAGACCTATCTATCCACTGATCACGAAAGAACCAGGCAACTGTAAGGAAGCATGGCTTTCTGATTTTCCATGTTTCAAGGTGAAGCCACGGGTGATCCCACCAAATCTACTGCTCATGGCCCATTTCTTCCGCGAGTTTTCGCTCGCGGATAGGTGGGCTCCGTTGAGATCCAGGTGCTCGACCGAGCAGCCCCTCGACCTCGACTTTGGCGGCACCAAATCGGAAACGGGCGCGCGGTTAGCCGGGGGTTGGTTTTTTGGCCCCCAACTCGGTGCCCCAGTAGGGCCCTCCTCTCTACTGGAGGACCTAGCCGCTTAGCCAAAATGGCTTGGGTTCTCAAAATCGCCTGCGAACCTGGAAGTTCCACGAGAAATTTGCAAAGTATCCACCGACCAAACATATTCCCTGCAGAAGTTCTGGTCGGTTGAGGATTTTTTGTGGTCGGTTCTCGAAACCGCGGGTTTCCCACGAAGTGGTTTCTCAAAAAGGTTGTTCCCAAAACTGATGTTTCGGTTGGGTTCCTATGTTTCGACTGGAACTGGCGCTGTCAAGCTTATCCAATCAGTGCTCAACCCTTTCAATTCTCTTTTTGCGAGCGGCTTCCCTGAAAATGGTCAGCCCCCCAAACGGGTCCCCTTCTTTTACCATCCACTCACAGTCCAATGGCTTCAATTCCCGAAACCCTTGGCGTGAGCATTTTGGTGTGAGTGGATACGGGTCTTTTCTTGGAATCCGAGGGAGAAACACGCGCCTTTTGTGTTGAGACTTGGAGGGTCCAACTTGTCCAACACCCATTTGTTGGGCATTTGTCAAAACACCGAAAACATGTTGGCTTCGCTTTAAACTTGAACCAACCTCTACTAGGTCCTCCACTATAGTCACTATGCCATTTTACCCGTTTGTGGGGGAGGGTTCCCCTACCAAAATAGACTACAGAAAAAAGTTGGTACCCTTATTCTAACCTCTCTACTGGAGGACCTAGGCTGTTAGGCGACCCTTAAAACAAAGCAAACACGGGGCGTGCGTTGTCACAGCGCGCGTTGTCAACGCGCGCAGGTGAAGCTGGAGGCGGCGGAGTACGAGGCGAAGTTGCGGCAAGAGCTGGAGCGAGCCATGCGCCGGGCGGCAGGCGGGAGGCAAAGGATTGAAACAACCGGCCTCCTCGCAAGGGAAGCAAGACCCACTTGCTCAAAGGTGAATCGGGCTTGTCACCTTTTGGCTATGGCCTCGAAAGGTAGTCGCCTTTTGTTTCTGGTTCCTAAGTTGTTTCTGGTTCCTAAGGGGCAACTGGAAAAGGGAGGTTGTTTGAACGATAGTGGCTTCAGGTGCAAGGGTTCGGCCGGCCCAACCCTGAGTGTTTGCCAGGCGCTGTGGACGGCCCAATTTTGCCCGTGTTTTCCCCGTCTTTCGGGAATTCGGCTTCTCGGGTTTTCGGGTTTTTGGGTTTTCGGGTTGGGCGACTTTATTGTTAAACATGTCTCAGCACGTGTTATTCCAAGGGTCCATTTGTACCCTTAGAGGGTCCTGGTTGTTGTATCAACCTGGTTTTGAGACCCTTAAAGTGTCCGATGCAGGGGTCTGTGTCTTCCATTGAAAGCCGCAGGAGTTTCTGGGTGTCTAAACACATCATCTCTACTCTTGGTATGGTAGCTAAAAACTGTGTTTTTTGCAGACCCCCAGTAAAAATGAACAGAACCAAAAAAACTTTACCCCCCCAAAAAAAACAACATGCCAAGAACAGTGAAGACATGTTTTTGTTGATGTGTTCCCTTCTCGCTGTGAAGGGGGCCAGTGTTTGTTTGAACACATGTTGCTCCGGTGGTCCAGGGCCTCCAAACAGACGCACAGCTGGGAGGATGACCTCAGGTTTCAATGCCTTTGGGTATTTCTTGGTGCTTGCCATCCAATGCTCAGCTCGTGCTGTTGACGTGATGGGCGTGCTGTTCCCTCTTGTGGGTGGGCGGGCGGCAACAACTTTCAGATCCCTTTGGGGGTCTTGATTGAGTGCAAGGGAAACCAAAGCGAAACCGCCTTGTTTGTTTTTCTCCTTGTGCAATGGACCGAGCTCCCCATTTCTGGCATCGTGTTTGAGATTGTTTCAAGCTTGAAGATTTACAATTTGTCATGTATGAACCTGAATCAAACCATATTATTCCTGCCCTCGATCGATTTACCAAAGGGACCACTGCCGATTTTGTTTTGGGGGTTCCCCCAGGCATGGAGGATGCGCTGGATTCCCCGGTCGTGCACCCCGCGCTGGTTGCCATGCTCGAGAAGATCAAGGCCGTTTTCGTTTTCCCAAAGATTCCCTCCCACCAACCAAGCTGTTTTGTTATTGTTTGGGAGTGGCATCGGCGTCTTTATGTTGGCTTTCTCTGAGCGAGGTTGCCATGTTGCAGAACTATTTCTAAATTACACAGAACTGTTTCTAAATAGTTCCTAAATTTGTGGAGAGCTATTCCTAACTCTAGGGTATGTGGGGAACTTGGGGAACCTCACAAATTACTGCGTCACTGTTTTCCTTTCAGTTTCCGGGTTTGAACCAACCTGTAGGGTAAACTAAATATGATGCAGCATTTGAGCGTTTTCTGTTTGGAGTGCCCCAGATGTGGGCCAAGTCTTGGCTGAGTTTTGGTGTGACCGAGTCCTCAAAGGAAAGACTTGTGGGACGGCGATGGCTTTTTCAGACCAAAAGGTCGCTAGGACCTTTTGTTCAGAGCCCAGAAACATGGAAGTGCACAAACTCAGTTCCCAAGAGAGATTTGATTCGGAGTCCCCGCCCCCGATGTATAGGAAAGAGCAGGGGGTACTGGGGCCGCAAATCAAGGAACCTTTCCAAGCATAAGGGTAGGAACCATTTGTGGGGTGGCTTTGAAAGGCAACCAAAAGGAAAGTTACATTTGTTGTGGGTCGCCTAAATACAGACACACCCACGTCTCCTGAAGCCGTCGAATCTTTGGTCTCAGCCTCGCCAGGAGTCTCAAGGCCGAATCAGCGACTGGTGCCATGGCAGTTTGGTGCCGAATGTGTCGAACCACTTGGTTTGGTTGCGGCTGTGTTTCTGTTGTTCTGCTTGCTAGCCGGTTCGTTTGTTTGTTTCTTTCCCTATTGTTCGCCTCTAGGTGGATTCGTCATATTAGAGACCCGGAGTTGATTGCTGCTGGCCGGCCAATTCTTGGTTATTCAAGAGGCTTTTGTTGCATCTATCGGCACGAAGTACAGATGCAGCTTATTCTGACCAACCGTTTCACAGCTTCGTTTGCCTCCTGTGCTTCGCCTTGTGGTATGGGCCTGTTTTTGCAGACGGGCAAGGCAATCATGTGCCGGGGCCACTAACTCTCTTCCTGAGTTGCTGAACTTTATACTTTTTGGAAAGACAACTTTTTTGGAAGCAAGACAGTTTGGAGTTGTTTATGGCAAACCCACTCAGAGTCAAGGGGGTTCCTGTATGATCTCATGAGAGTTCATCTCGGGCAGGCTATGGGTGTGGACGGATGCAAAACATCTTTTGATGAGAGACTGGGTGCTAAATGTCCCAAGGATATACAAGGGGTTGATATCAGTGTGTTTAGTTTGTGTGTATGTCAAAATCAAATCACGCAGGCTTCAGAGGCGCGTTTGATTCGGGAAGAGGGTGCCACCCTCCCTGCAACTATCATGGAAGCTGACAGGAGCGGTTTGGGCGGCTACTTTGATCCTGGGCAAGCCCCATGTCCACTTCCACGATTTGAAAGGGGGTACCTTGTTGCAAACATGTGTGTGTGTGTGTGTGTTACTGGTTGCATGGTCTACTGTTTAACCGTTTGGGATTTCTTTCCCATGGGGCATGTGCGCGGATAGGTTCCCCCTCCCAAACAAGTCCTTAAACAGTGTTACTGTTCGTGTCTTGTTGGACACGTGGGGGTTGGGAACAGCGGGGTTGTTCTGCTAATGTGTGGTTTCTCATCCAACGAGTTGACCCCTGGCCGCGAGACGGCTTCGGGGAAACCAAGCGTGATCTTGAAGTGGAGTAGCTGCTTCGGGAAAGCTTGGAAAAAAAGAGAAAGCAGTGGCCAAGTGGCCCTTGGTTTTGAAACATGGTTTGATGTTCAAGCAGCCAAAGGGACGTGGAACCTGAGGCCCACAGGAGCTAGAAGGAGCAAACTAATGACTATACCCCTATCATGACTAAATGTGGTTTTCAAGCACTCCAGATTCCATTTCAAGCATATAGTTTTTGTCTACAATAAGTCAATCCAAGAAGCCACCTACAGGAATTTGTGGAAAATCCTTGTGGTTGCTAGGTGTTTGGCCAAGTTCCTGTAGAAAACAACCGGGCTCGCTGGTTTCTGTGAGTCAGCCTCAGGTTTCGGAGCTTCGACAGTGACAAAGATGGCTGCTGGTCTTCCGGCGACCTCCGAGCCTCGGTGTCTTCAAGTGGCACGTGGTTCGCCCCCCTCTTGTTGATAGTCAGGTGTCCCGTGGGGATGCATCACGTGGGGATGCATCACTAGTGGAGGGGTACACTTAGCAGGATGGGTTTTACGAATCCGGGGTCAACATTCTACCCCTTCCTTGGTGGTTTGGGGCTTTGAATCTTCAGGGGGAAGGCCCCGTCCAAACCGCCGAAGAAAACCACCAAGTAGGGGGTTAGGTGATTGAACATGACCACCCTGCTTGGCACGCCTAGGCAATGCCCTCCACAGCAGCGGATACAATGCCAGCAACGAGGAGCTCCAAGATCTCATGGAGATGCGACTTTGCAGAACTTCGGGGTCTTTCCATACATAAATAAATACATATATATATATGTATGGATGCCTCATTCTTGGTGCCCTTTCCCCAAATGGGTGGTTTCCTGTTGGTTTCTTTTGCAACCCATGTAAAAAAGGGCACCCGCAACGAAAACAACGCGACCATGTTCCGTAGGCACTAAGCTTTGTTTATACAAAAAGCGTTCCGATCCCTTGCACCAAAGGAGAATCATGCCGGTATCCGCAAGGAACCCACTCGATTTGCAGAACACGTTTATGGCTACCCAATATTTGCTCTGAACTTGGAGTTGGGAAGATGGTCATAGACCTTTTAGGGGACTTTAGACAAACGTGAAACGGACTCCTATTGATTAGGCCAGGTTCCCTAAAGTTCTCAGTCCTTTCATGAGGTTCCGTGTAATTACTTTCCTTTAGTCGGTTTTAAACATCTCCAGTTCGGCCATTTGAACATGAGTGAAGCTTAAAAGGGTATTGTAAAAGCTGTCCTTGCACAACCTGTATTGTCTTCTCCCAGCCACCACACGGCTTGTTGCGCTGCCACCGTCCCTGCTTTGATTTTCCTGTCAGGTGCGACCAGGCTGCTACTCAATGAGGTAGGTTCCAACAGGCCTACGGGGTTTGCGAAAGGCGACTTGGGCCGGTTCGACCCAACCCCCAAACCGACCCGAGGAGAACTTGGAATCATAGTCATCCTTCCCCCCCAAAAAAAACACCAAGAAGGACCAAAACGGACCAACCAAGAGCCTAGCTGTCAAAAGTCTAGCTGGCTGTCCAAAGGACGCGCAGCTTGGCCTTCACTTCTTTTCCGGCCCATACCCCCACAAATGAGCCATCGGAATGGACGAGACGTACTTTCATTTGCTGAACCCAGAGGCGCTCCTGGGGCTTTCAATGGACCCGAGCCCTCCCTTAAACACCCCGCAAGCCGGTGTTTGTGGGTGTTTGGGGGTCTCAACACCTGGCTGTTGGGCCCTAAGTTTGTCTTGCCCGCTTTGGTTTAAAGGGAATCTATCACCACTGATGGACGCTTAGCTGAGGCTGGATTCTGACTTCGACGGCCTGATTGTGCGGCGCTGAGATTCGCCAAAGGCCAGCAGATCACCAAGCCACGGCCGAAGAAAGCATATGGGCGGCGCACGTGTGTGTGTGTGTGATAGAAAACGAGAGATTGTTTTCAGGGTGCGTACCCTTTTTGGATGGGTTATAAAGGGAAGCCATATTTTGAAGCATATGGGTTAACGTGTTTTTTTGTAATTATCCCGATTCATCAGATTCCTCCCCGCTTCCTCTATATCCCCGCTGTTGGCTTTCCCAATATTGCAAAGCGGGTCCTGTGAAGGAACCTACCTACTTTGGACGGTGTTGTTATGATTCATGGGCTCTTCTGTCAGTGCATGGCTTGAACCTCCGTACGTGTTGCTGTTCTCCTTCGGGAATGGTTGATATCGCTTTGCAGGTCATGTTTCTTTTGTCTGGACGCCTTGAAGTGAACATGTTGAAAGGCTTCCAAAATGACTTGTCACCAGTTTGAGTCACGTGCTTCGATAGGCCACGCCGTTTGTTCACAAGTAAGTCATCCAGATCTAACCACAAATGCTAGTTATAAACAACATCTAGCCCCGGCATGGCAAGCACTCACTCACTCTCCCTCTCGCGCTCACTCACTTTCCACTCACTCTCGCGCGCTCAAATTTCCGACAAGTTTTCCGGGTGTTCCCTTGGCTCCTTTGCCATCCGGGCACCCAGCAGACTGTGGATGGACGAAATCCGATCCGTTTCGCACCACTTTGGAGCCATGGGAAACCATGGTTTGGCATTTACAGGGGGAATCACCAATTTAGGGTTTCTATGGTTTCTTAGGTGATGAAGGATTTCGTCCATCCACAGGCGTGGGCTTCTGAGGACGTGAAGGAGCTCACTCGAGCCCTGCAGCATGCGGGGCTGGAGCTGCGGTCGCTGAAGCTGCAGCAGGGCAGGTCGGACACCGAGTATGCCACCGCCATAGAGCCCCGCGGCAAACTCAAGGCAAAGCGAATCGACCGGATTTGACTTTTCGACTAAATCGGGGTTCTTTCCACTGACCTTTTGTTGGTCTGGCACTAGGGTACTCTCATTTGCCAAATGTTGGGTTCACAACTTTTAGTCATAGCCCTAAAAGGTCAACCTTTGATTCCTGGGTCTCTTCGGGGGGAAAGTGAGTAAGTCGATTCAGCCGGCCAATCCCAACTGCCCAACTGACAACATCGCAGACACCCAGTAATTTCTTCCTGTTTCTTGTTTTTTGTGAGAGGGTACCCTCTAAAATCAACGCCCAAACAAGGAGTGTCCTGGTTTTGCCATGGCCACTGGGGGTTGGGGACAACATGGAGGTGGAGATATTGGTTTTGCCAGCCGCAAGAAACCCCGTTGCTCAGGGGCATTCCTTTTTCGCTTGTGGCTTGGTGGCTTCCCCACTAAAACGGCCCCCCCCCTTTGCTTCATTCAGACACTGGTCTATTTTCATTTGACGGGAATTTTACCGTAGGGTTAAACAGTTTGGTTTATGTTGCACGTGGGTCTTGCTCGTCTATTTGCTTGTGCAAATGGCATGTCAGGCAGGTTGATTTGACTTCGCCCGGCTTATTTTGCTGCTTGAGGTGTTGGTCATGTTTTGCTGCTGGCTTGGGAAAATGGTTCTGCCCGGCAAGTACGCTTGCTGCTGGGGGCTTTGAAGGTTTCCCAGCCCAAAGCAGGCAAGCGGGACATGACATGCAAACAACTCTTTGACACCAACTGAAGGATCAATGAGGACGCGATTCCCTTCTCACTGGCCCCACCGGCAAAAATTGAGGACCGAAGGACCCAGAAGGCAAATGTAAAGAGTATTTTCTGCAGATTTGCCATTGGAAGGCGCTCGACTAGTCAGCGAATGCGATTCTTTGCGAGCCACCTCTAAGATTATTTTGCCATGATGGTGCATCCCCCGAAGTACAGGAAGAAAGGGGGAAGGGGACCCACCCCAACTCCACCCAACCCCACCCGACCCAACCCCACTCAACCCTCCACCCACCCACCAACCCACCACCCACCCACCCCACCCACCTCACGCACCCACCCCACCCCCTCACCCACCCACCCACCCCCACCCCACCCACCCCACCCCACCCACCACACCCCACCAACCCCACCCACCCACCCCACCCACCCACCCCAACCCCTCCCCCCACACCCACGCCCACACCCGCCTCCAGACATCTTATTTTTGGGCGGCGCCGCGCACTTTGCAGGTGGAAGGTTCAGGTAAAAGGTGTTTGTCCTTTGATTAGAGCCCACTCGCAAGGGGAGGGGGGTGTTTTGAGAGAGACCGAGAAAAAGAAATAGAGAGAGGGAGAGCGAGAGAGGGAGAGCGAGAGAGGGAGAGCCTATTTGCGACCAGGCACCATTGATTAAGCGCCACGGCCTTCTCATGGCTCCACCATTGTCCTTGGCTCGTGCTCGCGCCAAGGCTCGCGTTGCCGGACTCCCTGCAGGAGATCACGGCCAGAGCAGTGACTTGGAAGCACTGGGCTAGCTGAGGACAGCAATTCATTGGGAGCACCCCTGCCCCCCTACAAATCATTATGGAGCTTTTTTTGGGGGGGTTTCCCATAAGGAGATTCGTCAAACACTGGCGGGTTTTTGGGGTTCCATGTTAGCTTCCAGGGGAGTGCCTCGTAGAAAGGGTTCTAACAAACCTCAGAAGCGTCCTGTCAAACCCTTTTTTGTGCGGCTTTGGAGGCCCCCCTAGCACAGGCTTTAGTTGCAGACTTTCCTGACCAGTTTTGCCCAGTCGGAGCTTCTTCATGTCTTTTGTGCGCCAGAAAGTGAACTTCCAGCAACTTCCAAGGGTGGTCCATTACCTGCAGTGCTCTTGTTTGAGCCCTATTGGGTACAAATAGGCCAGCTTTGGACCTTGGTCGTTGTTTTGACTTGTTGTTGGGGTTGTCAAAGTGAGAAGCTGGGGGTCTTTCCCGTTCACCTATTACTTAGAGGGTGACTTTGACAACGGTAAAATGCCGGGACCAGTTGGAGGGTGCTGGTTTAAAGCTCATGTCACATTTGGGGGGTAATCACAAGGTCCCTTACATGGGATGACCATTGGGGAGAACCACTAAACGATGATATCTCCCAGTAAACCGGCAAATTTACCCATGGTCATTTGGGAGCCAGGAATATTGATCTTTCTGCCGAAGGTCACGGATCCCTTTGGCCAAGGCGCTGGTGGCGATTTACGAGCTCCTGGAGCTGAACAAGTTGCGCACCATTGACTTCATCCGGCTCATCGATCGACGCTTGGCGACCAAAAATACCCCAAATAGGTGGCAGTTTTCAGGGAAACTACAGGAAGCCACCTTACTGAAAGTTTCCTTTTTTGAGCCACGTTCATGTGCGAGCTTGTCCAGTATATGAGTTTTGCGGTTTGGTTGGGACGGTTGTAAGGTCAAGTCGTGTTTGTGTGGGGCGTAGGGATCCCAAGCGGAGTCATGTCCTCGACCTCCCAGGGCGCTTCTTGTCGGGTTCAGCTTCAGGCCTTCAGGCGTTCCCTCCAAGTGGTCAGATGGGACAGTCGAAGTCATGATGCCTCACCCCTATGGATGGAAGGGGCGGGGCGTATCTTCTATCAGAGCGAGCGAGAGAGAGAGAGAGAGAGAGAGAGAGAGAGAGAGGGAGGGAGGGAGGGAGGGAGGGAGAGAGAGAGAGAGAGAGATATATATATATATAGAGAGAGAGAGAGCCCAGCCCCAGATTTGTTCCAAGAGTTTGGGTGCAGGGTTTGAACACATTTTGTTCAGTTAGGGGAGTGATGCACGTGAGTCGAGGTAACAGTGACGCGCACCTCACGCCTGCAGAGCTGAAGAAAGGACTGCATACCCTCGCGGGTTGATGAATCTTCCGTGAAAGTGGTGAAAGGCCTCAAAATGTGAATATCTGGCCTCTAGACTTGCCTCCATCTTCTGTGCATGACCATGTGACCCGCCGGTGCATTTCGGTTTACATAGGAATTCCTTCGGCCATATTTGTGTCTTTGACACGCACACCGTGCGTGGACGGCTACTTGCAGGTGAAAAGGTTTGCGGCAGCGCGGACCAGATCAGAGAGGTTGAATCTCTGTTGCCAGTCAAACTGGTAGCGGAGCCTCGGCAGAGGCTCAGCCAAGGCGCGGTGGAGATCGCGCAGGTTGTGACAAAGACCTACGTCAAGAACGTTGAAGTACGGGGTCTTCCCAGGGACAGGCAGAACAGCGAGCCCAACTCTCAGGACTTTGGAAACACCAAGCCCTTCGGCACGGTCCTGAGCTACCTCACCTTCGGTGTCTACGGGATCCTCCCCCCGGTACTCTCGGGTGTCTTCTGTTGATAATCAGCTTTGGCATCTGTGAGGTGTGAGATCTACAAGAAGAGCAACGAGCTTTACATCGACTTCCTCTCGCCGGGCATCTGGGCGAGATGGCCACTGTGCAGGCCAAGGACGTGTACGTGAAGTGGAACGGCGATCCGACCACCTGGGGCGATTACCTGCGGAAGGTCAGACTCCAGCACGATAAGACGCCCAAGCGGAAGCTCAAGCATTTGGGACCGGAATTGGTTTCCCGTTTGACGGACAGAGCATGGACAGCCTGCTCCGAAATTGACCACAGGCTTCTTCGCAAGAAGAGCGGCACCAAGTACCTCTTGCGCTTCCTCCTTGCCAGGTTGGGACAGACGGCCATCCCCGATGCAGGTTCCCGTCTCGAAGAGCTTTTCATCAAGCTTCGTCGACAACCTGGGACACCTATGAGTCAGTGGGCTCAACAGGTAAGGGAGGCCTATAAGAAGGTGCGACGGTCACTTCTTCGTGCCCGACATGAAGGCAAAGGTGCACTACCCGCTGAACCGGCTCGAGGTGAACTTGCTGGACAACGACCAGGTGCTGATCATCCTCGAGGAGCTCCGGCAAGGGCGATCTGGAGAGTCAGAGGCGTCCCGGAGGTCTGATGCTCATGCGGAAGAGCCAGAAAGCAGACGAGCAGTTCAGTCAACGCCTTCCTCTCCTACTAGAGGAGAACAAGGAGATCTACAGGAAGGCGCAGCTCAGTCTGATCCTGGCCCAGAACTTCCCGGACTCCCGGAGGACGAGCAGGATGAAGCCGACGAAGGAAACGATGATGATTGGCGATGGTCGAGATCCTGGTGGAGTGGTGGCCAACATCAATGGGGCGCTCATCAGTGGCGTCGCGGTCGTGATGATTCTGATTCAGAAGATTCAGATGACGACGATGATCCCGACGTACCATGGGACGAGCTAGAGATCAACCCCATTGAGGTATTGCCTGAAGAAGTACTCGGCTGGCTTCTGTTGCGGAGAGCGAATCTGCCTTCCCAGGCACGGCTGAGTGTTCAGGCTTCGGTTCAAAACAGCCTGAGATTCTCTGCCTTGGAGATGGCGTTGCGGGACCAGGAGGAGGAGCTGCTGTACCAGGAACGGAAGTCAGATGAACGCAGCAAGGAGCATGCGAAGGTCGGTGGCTTCAGCCCTAACCAATGGGCGCTTGGACGTGATCCTGGACTGGATTTGAAGATGCATGAGAGCGGACGAGATGGAGCTCCCATACACGTCGGACAGCGCGACCCCAAGGAAGCGGTGTCCAAAGCAATGGCGGTGCGAACTCGAGCTGAGGAAGCGTATAGCCGGATGGTGGTGCAGGAGGCGATCAATCGCGCTTGGAACTCGAGCCCCAAGAAAGGTGATACCTACATGCCGGGTGATTTGGTGTATTATAAGAGGTTTCAGGCTCCTGGACAAGCAGTTGCCCATGCGGATGTCGATGTCACGCGAAGGCGGATGGCAAGATGGTTCGGTCCGGCAAGGGTCCTAGCGACGGAGACGCTGTCGCCCTCGGGGAACGCTGAAGATTCTGTGCCGGGCAAGATCATTTGGATCGTGGCAGCTGGCAGGCTCAAACGTGTCAGCCCGGAGCAACTTTGTTTGGCTTCGCCCAGAGAGCGTTTGATTGAGGAGGGCACCAACCCAGCAGATTTTCCGTGGACTATCCATGGGATGCTCAACAAAGTAGAGAAGGGCGAGTTCGACAACTACGAAGACCTCTACCCAGATGGCGGCCGACTTCCTCTGATGTCTAGCAGAAAGCGAGGCAGAGCTCAGAGCGAGCCGCGGCCAAAGGCTGCTGCCAAATCTAGTGCAAGGGTAGAGGGAGGTGATAAGAGCGAATCAAGACCCATAAGAGGCCAAAAGACTCCAACAAGAAAGGGTGGCAAAGAAGGCCCATCAAGAGCGCAAGTAGGGACGGAAGGAGCACCGTCTGCGCCAAGAGAAGCGAGGGCACGCTCAAGGTCCCCTGTAGGAGTCACATCTAGCCCATCGGGCTTAGGAGCCCCTGGTAGTGTAGTTGATCAGTCGCTGCACGAACTGCTCAATAATCGGCAGTTTGCTGCCGCTAGGCAACGCCATGGTGGCACCGCGGAAAGGAGCCGGTCATCGGCAAAAGTGGTGATGGATGAGTCCCTCGGTGAGGCGGTAGCTCTTCTCATGGACTCCGAGAAGGGCAAGAGCAACCTCATGCGGGACCCTGTCAACAGCTACCTGATTGACGAGCTCGGCATTGGTGACAATGAGGTGATGGCGTGCTTCAGTGTTGACGTGCCCGAGGATGGCAAGGAGTTCCGGCAATTTCAACGAGATCCGGAAGAGTGGCTGGTGAAGAAGATTAAGAAATCCCCGGAGGTCAGTCTGTCCAAGATGGCTCCTGAAAGGATTGAAGATTTCCGCAAAGCCAAAGAAGCGGAGGTCACTCAGTGGGTTCGTTCGGCAGCGTGCCGGGCGGTGGAAGGCGGCAGGCTCATTCCGAAGGACAGGGTGATGAAGATGCGGTGGGTCCTCACCGTGAAGGGCAGCGGCGCTGCAAAAGCTCGGATCGTGATCGTGGGCTTCACTGACCCTGATCTTGCTTGCTTGCCTAAGGCTAGCCCAACCATGAGCCGGAGATCCAGACAGTTGATGGCTACCATGGCGGCGACGGCAGGGTGGTCTCAGCTGAAGTGTGATGCGAAGAGCGCTTTCCTTCAACAGTCGGAACACGGAGGAATCGCGAAGCATTTCTGCGGTACCCCCGGATGAGTTGGCGGATGCCATGAAAGCACCTCGTGGCAGAGCAGTGCAGATTTTGAAAGCTTGCTACGGGCTGGTCAATGCCCCGTACCAATGGTTCTGCGAAGTGCGAGATCGCATTCTTCTCATTGGAGGCGAAGCTATCCACACAGAGCCTTGCATGTGATTGTTCGCGGCCCCGACAGCAGTGTTTGTGGAATCATTGCCTCGCATGTGGATGACTTTTACATGGTAGGTGATGAACATGACCCCACTTGGAACGCATTCTTGGTGAACTTCAAGCAGTCATACATGTGGAGCCCTTGGGAAGCAGATGTGTTTGAGCATTGTGGCATCATCATGCAGCAGCTTAACACTGGTGAGATTCAGTTGGATCACAGCAAATATTGCACTGGCATGAAGCAGATCGATCTGAAGGATCGAGATGATCACGCTCCCGCCAGTCCCACAGAAACAGAGCAGATGCGCGCTATCTTAGGTGCGGTTCAGTGGCGTGTGCAGCAGAGTGGACCTCAACATGCGGCGAAATTGGGACAGCTCTTGACTATGGTTAAGTCCCCGACTGTCGCTATTTTGCGTGAGGTGAACAAGTTAGTTCGCGAGGTCTATGCGGAGAGACACTCGTCTCCCCGGTTGCAACCGCTGAAATGTGAGCTCGAGAAAGTGGTGATGGTTTGCTGGACAGACGCGGGCATTAGCAAATCGTGGTGACGGAGGCTCGACAGGCGGATACATAGTGGCGGCGGCCCCCCCGGCTTTGCTTGAAGGTCGTAGGTCACCTGTGTGCATGTTGAGCTGGAGATCAACAAAACTGCGGCGCGTGGCTCGCAGTTCGCTAGCTGCAGAAGATCAAGCATTCTCTGAGGGTGAACAGGAGTTGATGTGGTGTCGTTTGCAGTGGCGTGAGATGCTCGGTGAACGCATCGACTTGCAGAGCCCGGGGAACAGTTTGCAGAAAACCCCTGGAGTGATGGTGACAGATGCCAAATCTCTTTACGACGCTGTGAGCCGTGGGGATGCAGCAACGAGCGGTTTGGGTTTGTCAGACCAGTACTCAGCTCTGGAAGTGCTGTCGGTGATGGGGAGACTAGCAGAAGCAAAGACATCAGTTCGGTGGGTGCACAGTGGTGCGCAGCTGGCAGATGGGTTGACAAACCATCAGCCATCATCGTGCCTGAAGAAGGCCATGACGGATGGCGCCTGGACGCTTGTGGCAGATGAGAACTTTCTGTCGCAGAAGAAGCGCAAGAAGATCGGGTTGGCAGATAATCCGGTCAACACAGAAGTTTCTGGCAAAAGACTATGGGGCATGTGAATATCTGGCCTCTAGACTTGCCTCCATTTTCTGTGCATGACCATGTGACCCGCCGGTGCATTTCGGTTTACATAGGATTTTTTTCGGCCATATTTGTGTCTTTGACACGCACACCGTGCGTGGACGGCTACTTGCAGGTGAAAAGGTTTGCGGCAGCGCGGACCAGATCAGAGAGGTTGAATCTCTGTTGCCAGTCAAACAAAATGACCATGGGTATCCAAGGGTAACTTTTTTTAAATATGAAAGTCAAATGGGATTTGTTGGGTGGTTTTGGTAGTCATGGGAAACTGTTTTGTTTGTAGAGGAGCTTTGGATCAACCCGCATGTGGTGAAAGTCAAATCAGTTTTTGGGTGGTTCCACAAATGGTCTCCCCATGTTCATCGGACCTTTTGATAAACCCCCATGTCCACTCACTGAGTTTGGAGTTGGAGTCTTTCGTTCGCTTTGCCCTCACCTTTCTCGAGCAGGTGTGGGTGATGTCATGACATCTTTGCCTTGGTTTGGCAGAAGCCCCTCAATGCCCCCTTCTTGGACCACCAAAAGCGGCAATTTTGTCATGGTGTGTTCTAACTGACCAGTAAAACTGCAACTTTTGAAGGGGAACTCCAGTGACCTTCCCGTTTGGGTACCTTCAACCAGGTTCCGGTGAAGCCAGGACTTCTGAAGATCGGCTATGAGATCAGTCAGCAAGAGCTCCTTGGCAGTCACGTCGAGAAGACACGAAGCCGAAGGCAAATGGACCTTCTTGGATCGCCAAGTTGCGATCGCTGCTTTCCAGACACTTTACTATTAAAAAAGACAGTCACAGTTGGAAAGAGGCGATCGCAACTGGCGATCCAGGTTTTCTCAGCAGGCCCAGGCCCTAGGTTTCCTCTTTCCGCCAGTGTCCAAACTCACAAGCACTACCCTCTGCCGAACAATCATGAAAGTGGACGGGGTTCTGGAAGACTGCCGTGCTCGTGAAACGTCGACTTTCATGGCTGTTGGAAAAACAGTAGAAACGACCGACTAGCCCCTGAGCAACTCTATGTTGCACGCCATGTTTTGCCAGCAACCTGACTCGTGACGACCTTTGGACCTTTTGATTTTGCAAAGCTGATCCATATGCTGTACCTACCCTGGGCATCGAACAGTTCGGGGCTTACACATCGGCCAGTTCCTGTTGGACCCTGCCGGCTTGTGCCGTAAGGGGACCCCGCTCCCTCCCTCGGCTCTCCATTTTTTGCTTCCGGGAACTTTGTGCAAGTTGCGCCGAGGCTTTCTGCGCTTGCCCAGATGCTGGACAGCGATGGAGCCTTGGCAGTGCCAGGCGGTCAATTCCCTAAAAACGTCCAGTTGTTCGCTGACACCATTTTCGGTTTTGGTGGCTGTCTGACTAAAACGGACTACCTCACAAGGCATTCCCTTTTTCTTACGTCACTTGGCCACTGGGTGGATAACAGTCGCACCCCTTTCAGATCCCTTTGCGCCACTTCTTCCATTTGCTTGAGACTATTTAATCCCCTGTTGGTTTTACAGGGAATTTGTCACCTCTGCTTGTTTTCCTTGGGACGTATTCGCAAAAATAGAGCACCACAATCTATCAGGACTTTGTGGTTGGATCTGGCTGCTTCACTTGCAGCATTTGTGGAAATGGTGGGGCGGGGAGCTGGTGGTTTTTCCACTTTCCCGAAGGGGAAAGCTGAGCTTTGGGCGCATGTCCACCTCTGGGTTTAGGTCTGGATGCTCTACCACCAATACAAGCTTGTAAAGCATGGTATATCCCCTCACTCCCGAAGTTCCTGGGATTATTTTTTGGAAAAAACAAATTTGGTAATTTAGTGTGTAAGAGAATGAAGGTGATGGAAGAGCCTGGGAGATATGGCTCTCACCTTCATCATTCCTTCTCTTTTTCTATTTATCATTTTGATGGTTACCTTCATTCTCAGATCTTGCAATAAGATCAGAAATGAGAGTGAAGGTAAGAGATAAGATGATAATTAACAAACATGTTTGGCTACTTTTTCTGGCCAATCCACCCGATCGGAAGTGGCTTCGCCTCCAACGCTTTGATACAAAGTGGGCAATTCCAGAACCGCCCTAATGGGAGGGCTCCATGTTTCCAGCCTCCAACTGCTCAGGGTTTCATAAAGCCCAAGGCCCAAGCCCCAAGCCGACTTGATCTGAACGCAGTGGATTCCCATATTTCCTCTTCAAGGGTTCCAAGGGTTCCAAAGGGTCACCACCTTATATTTCCACGCAAGTGAAATTCGGCGTAATATGGGGAGGCAATCATTCGCCTTCTCGCCAGCCATTGTCCTCTCAATCTTCCCCGCGCTTCACGTTGGGCGATTTGGAACCTTGGTTGGGTATAGTAGGTATTGGTTCGCTTTAAACCCTTTGACCAAGAGGGCGCCCAATTCGCAGGTCTAGGATCCACCCATCACTGCGCCCAAGCCTGATCCCTTGTTTCCACCAAGGCCTTGTCGCTTAAAGTCTTCTATCCAGCTTAGCGGCTTCCGTTTTCCTTTTGGCTTTTCCTTTACACCACCCAGAGGCTGCCGATGTATTTAGGGCCCTCAAACAGCCAGGTTTTGAGACCCCCAAACACCGCAGGGGTGTCTAATGGAGGGGTCGGGTCTTCCATTGAAATCCCCGGGAGCCTCTGCGCAACCAGGAAAGAGGTGCCACGAAGCCTCCAACAGCACAAGCCAGCCATTTAGAGAAACAAGGCGACCAACGTAGGTAGAAACTTGGAGCCCTCCCTTTAGGGCGTTTCAGGAATTTCTGCCATATCATTTGAAAGGCAAAGTTGCGTTCCTATACCCAATCAATGTTCTGAAGCTGTTGCAATCTACATGAAACCCAATACCCAACCAATGCTTCGAAATGCCCGACGTAAGGTTTACCCACTATACTCAACCAATGCTCTGAAACAAACATGCAAGCACTACAACACAATAAACACAAAAAAGCGACGTGACACCCAACATCCCACACATAACACAAACCACACAACATGCATAAACTTCAAAAACCCAACCAATGTTCCGACTCACACACATCGACATCAAACCCATAACACCACTCCGCGCCACCCCAAAAAGCACCAAAGCGACGCCGAAGCCTGTCGACATGCGTCGACGCATCCACATGAACCCCCCCCCCAAACCCATGACGCAACGACCAAAAAACCGTCGACGTCCCGACGGTTTCCGGTGAGAGATCCGACGAAGGCAACGGCATGGTGAGCGTCAAGGAGCTGGACCGCCACGTGCGCAAGGCCGCTTTGGACGCCCTGGAGGCGGCGGCCCAGCGGGTGATCTCGGTGGCGCCGCGGTAAAAAACGGGAGGTCTTCGACGAGTGGGGGGAAGGGGGAGGGGAGGTATGGGGAGGTGGGAAGTTTGGCTGGATGGCCGGTTTGTGAGTCAAATGCCCGTTCAAACAACAACCGTCTAAGCGGTTGTTTTAGTATCAACTGGCTTCACAGCTGCTCTGTTTGGCCCTTTGAAGGTGACTTTGAAAGGAAACCACGGAAGTGCTGAGAACTCAGCTTGCTCCTGACGTCCAGTGGGGAAGGGCAAGCCAAGTATAAGATTTTGCTGAACGAGGATTGTGGTTTCAGTTTGGCCCCTTTGACCAAGGTCTGGTTCCTTTAACATAGTTTGCAACCCAGATGCAGGATGACGCTTTAGCACTCTCGCTGTTTCCTACGATCACTTGGGGTCCGGGCTGTCTCCAGTTGGGGGGAACCTTAAGCTTCAAGGGTTTCACTTCGGTTTGCTTTTGAGCCTCTCGGCTGAACTCGATTTCAAGGAGTTTCCGTTATGAGCAGATCTGTAGGTCGACATGTGAAGAGGAGCCCGAAAGAAAACTCTCATAATATGACTGTGCCAGGTGGCAAGAATAAGTCCGGGTCAACGACCATCCCAAGTTTGTTCCTCGACCCTGCGATTTGCCGTTTCTAACGGACTCCCAATTGACGTTCATGGCATGTAGACAGCAAATGGAAGCATGGTCCACCTCAAGTGGTGCATAGTTTTGGGCGTGGGACAGAATTAGCATGACCTGCGAAGATTATGATTGAAGTTGCAGACTAAATTGACGTTTTCCTTTCCGCCGGGCATGTGTCAATGGGTTGTGCTTGTTGGGCTCTCCTTCTGAGACTACCTTGTAGGACAAAATGGGATGTCAAGGTCAATTCTTGGTGTGAGCTGTGTCTAGCCAAGTTGGACCACTGGCGGACAGTTAGTTCCACTGGGATGGCAAGAGAATCAAGCCTACACCTGCATCAATCATTATCCAAGAGCCTTAGCCCTTGCATTACTACATCCGCGATCAACTTCGTGTGCGGTACAGGACACGGGCACGGGCATGTTTCGCACAAGGGTGCACCGTCAGGGGGCCTTACGGCCTTACTTGCCGGAGCAGTTTGGCCATTGGGCGCCTAAGCGCAAGCCCCTTTAATCCCCCTAAGAATGAGCAGCAGCTAGCCTGAGCACGTTGAAGCTGTGCCTTAGTTTTCTGGTTATCAGAAGGGAATGAGTTGGAATGCCCCTATAAACCTTTCAACTGATGACCAAAGTCTGGGTTCATTTCTCATTCCCTACCTACTTATCGCACCAGCTGCCTTGGGGGTCAGAATCCTCAAGCTGTTCGTTTTTCGGGGAGCCAGCTGAGGACAGTCCAACGGAGACCTCGGTGGCAGAAGTGCTCACGCGGGTGAACATGGCTCTACAGTCCGGGAAATTGGTGGTGCGCTGGGCCAGTTGAACCGGACCGAAAAACGGACAGGTTCATGTTTGGCAACCTCGGACTCATTGTCGCACTCAGCCGATTTTGGGGTAGGTATAGGCCGGTGTCTGCTTGGTGAGGGGTGGGCAGCCTGATTCATTGCAGTTTTGATGTGGGATCCGTCCCAACCAACTCAGCCTGCCTTGAATCCACACGAAGCCAGCCCAAACTTACCCTGACTCAGCCCAAACCAAGCAAACGCACATCAGCCACACTCCCAAATCACACTGAACTAGACTGAACTTCAAGACACCCAACGCCCCCTCCTAAACCAGCCTCGGGCAAGTGAGCCATGTTCAGGTCAGCTTGACATACTTTTGAGGGCCAGGACAACATCATCCTACCACGTCCAGTGAGCTGGGCCAGCTACGTAGCAAGTAGAATTTGGCTACAATTGCAACTTGCTTGGAGTGGTTGCTTCAGGGTTGTGGGATCACTCGTGGTTTCTCCCCACTTCTGTGATACAAGGGAATCCCCCTTTATATGAAGAAAATAGTCTTTGGGAAGCCCTTTTTGTTGTATCACGGTGGATTCCATTTCCCACAGCCCTGGGTTGCTTCATTCGTGAACAACTTGAAGGTGATCAAGAGACCGGGGTAGCTGCGAGGGTGCGCAATGGCATGCCGCACGGGCTGACTTGGCAAGAGTGGTTGCTGAAACTTTGAGTTGGCCACGGCTTATTCTTAAGGGATCACAACCCACGGCGAAACTGTCAAGACGCTTTTTGGGTCAACTTGTCAGGTCGGATTTGCCCGGTGTAGCTGGGGTTGGTTCACTCACCCTGCTCAGTTTGCAACACCTATGTGATGACACATCTAGAAAACAGTTTGGTTGCGGCGAATCTGAGCAACCCCTGCAGAACACTAAAATAGTATTAAAAGATTACTCAAAAGGTGTGAGCTGGCGCATTCAAACCGGGGAGGAATGCTAGCTGTTGGCTTGTTCTCAGTCAGGGCAAATGGAAATACCCCACCGGCCGATGCAAATTCTTCCCATTTGACCAGCAATCGGCAGCGGGCTGTCCACCCAAGTAATGCTGAAATCGAGTGAAGGACCCTCAAGGAAACCCGCCATCTTTTCCTCCAGGGCTCCGAGCCAGGTGTACGGCCGCAAGATCCACGATGCTCACAGCGACTCGGAGGAAAGTCTTCAGCTGAACTGGGGGGCAAGGAAATCCCCAGACCAAGCGCACCCGATCCTATCAAATGAGACTCACTCGCACAAAGCGAATCGACCTTTTGAACTTTCGGTTTTCCATATTTGGTCAAGTCTGAGCCATGTCCGCAAAAGGCTAATCTTGTATTTCTGGTCTTTTGGGCAACTGATGAGGAGGGTGATCCTTGCAACGGACGCAGAATGCATGAAGGACTCGAAGCTTGAGTTGGGGGCACCTCCCCCTGTGGATCTTGCTCGAGGCGTGTGGTTGAGCTCAGCATGCACTCCCTGTGCACGTCAAATCGGGGTTTGCAGCCCGACCGCCGGCCAGTCTCACACCGTCCTGTTCAGCAGCATGCCCTTGATCCGAGAAGAACCCATCCTGCTGCAAAAAAAAGGTGTCACCCACCAAAGTGACGGAAATCGTTCAGGAGAACCACCAGGTTTTCAGGCGAAAAAGTAAATGGAAGTTGGTTTAGAAGGAACCCAAGAGGAAGCCCACCCATTTGAAGGTCCCATTTTTCTCATTCTTTTCCACCATCGTTCTTTTTCAAACAGCCGTTTTCCCTGGGACTCCGGAGATTTTCTAGAAAGATCCGGATCCCTCCGAACATTTTCTAGAAAGATCCGGATCCCTCCGAAAAGTTTCTAGAAAGATCCGGATCCCTGGAAAGGAATGGACTTGAAAGGTACGCCTAGGATAGTGCCTTGAACACGTTTAAAGGGGTTGGCTTTGCTTGGGTCAACTTTTGTGGTTTCGGGGGCCATTCGGGGTGAAGGTACCCCTAGATTTTCCCATTTCGGCGGCCGCCGGGGCCGCCTTTGAGGCTTCTTCAAGGCCATCGACAAGGACGGCAGTGGCGCCCTGGACCCCTCCGAGCTCCAACGGGGCTTCCGGCGCCTCGGGGTGGACGTGCGCCTTGGAACAAAGGAAAGAGACCGAGGCACCCAAGGGCCATTGATTAGTGGTATGTGTTTGTTCTTTCTTTCTGTTTTTCTTGTTTTTGTTTGTTTTTTCTGTTCTTTGTTTTTTTTTCTGTTCTTTCTGTTCTTTCTTTCTGTCTTTCTTTCTTTCTTTCTTTCTTTCTTGCTTTCTTGCTTTCTTTCTTTCTTTCTTTTTTTATTTCATTATTTATTTCTTTCATTCTGAATTGATTTAGTTCTTTGTTTGTTTGTTTGTTTGCTTGCATTGTTTTGGTTTGTTTTGTTTTGTTTTGTTTTGTTGTTGTTTTTTTGTTGGTTTGGTTTGGCTTGGTTTCGTTTGGTTTGGCTTGGTTTGGTGGTTTGTTTGTGTGTTGGTTTGGATCCAACCCCACAAAGGGGATGTTTGCTTACCGGGGACACAGGTAGACTCAGAAAAAGCTCCCAATGAAGCGTCTCCCTGCAACACAGGGAAGTGCACGTCCGACCCCTTTCGGCAGACCCCCCGAGATCTGAAAGCCACGTGTGCCGAAGAAGTATTACATGACATGTTGAAACAACACCTGCAAAGATAGGCAGCCATGTGTGTGTTGTTTTGCGCTGAGTTTGGTTTGCAAATGCAAGAGAGATGCAAAGATATGCAGCCAGCCGGGTGGAAAGTGCACATGCATTTGGCTTGCAGATGCAAAGCCAATGCCCGCAAAATGGCTGAGCTTTCATGGTACTCACCAGGCGCGTTGATCGGATCTAACCCGATTTCCCGGATTCGGGTTGCCGTACTGTGGATGGATGACATCGATTTCGCACCACCTAGGAAACCCTAGTATGATATGACCCCGCTGTAAACGCCAAGAAACAATGGTTTCATCCATGGTTCCTTAGGCGGTGCGAACGGATTTCGTCCAGCCACAGTGTTTCTTCTTTTGATTCCATGAGTTGCCCTGATTTGGGTTCCCACAGGTTCACAGGTCGTCTTTTGGTTCCAAAACATGATCGAGTTTCATTTCCAAGTCGACTCTCTGCAAGGTTTCGGGCACTGAAAACGGACCCCGAGGTCGGATGCTTTGCTGCAGCAACTCTGCGACGCTTTGGACACCGACGAGAACGGCAAAGTGGAAGCTCGGCTGGGGCTGAAAAGGTGTCCCCCAGATGAATACGGAACCCAAACAGCCAGCAGGTTGAGAGGATGTCTTGGCGTGCTTGGTGCGAATTCGTGCGATAAAGGGTATCAGAGCCTGAGAGCAACTTCACCACCACCCACCCGTTTAGAAGGACTGAGAGGATCAGTTAGGTATCACTTGAACCTTGCCGTCCTCACTCTCAGTTGGCCTTTCTCAGAAGACCACTCCAGTGATGGTTTTCCCAAATCAAAGGAATGTTAATGTGTTCAGCATAGAGCCCCTCCACCTGGTCGCTTGGCTTCCTTTCAACTCCGAACACAAAGGGGTCTCTGGTTACACATTCCCATACCCACTTTCCATTAGTCGGAGGCAGCGTCCACACCAGAGGTTTTCCTTGTGCCCCGTGCTTTCACCCCCAGTTGGGAGTCGGAAGACGGCGGGCTACTTCTTTGGCCATTCGGGGTTCCCTATTTGTTTCCTTTTTGTTTGCACATCCCCCTTCGGTTGCAAGTTCAAATTGAGTTTTCTCTTGGCTGGGGTGATGTTTCAGGGGGACATAATTTATAGGGGGCTGAATAATTTCGCGTTTGAAGCGCACTTGCCCTCCCCCACCCTTTTCAACATGGAGCCTCGCGTTCGGGGGGTCGTGGTTGGGACCATGTTCCCTTTAAAGTGATCATTTCCCGAACATCAGGTTTCGTGTGAAAAGGGTGGGAGGGAAAATTGGGGAGCTATCTTTGCAGCTCTGAGGAATTGGCCGAGCTGGTTCGAGGCCTTGAAAGGCCCTTGAGCCACTTGGCTTCAATCGAGCGCCAGCTGAATGGCCTATTTTGTCAAGCGATTTGTTGCGGGTAAAATGAGGGAAGGCCATGTGGATCCTTGACTCCGGAATACGTTTGGGAATGAGCGTAAACATTGTAGACGTGGATGTGTTTCGCCGTTTTTGAGATGCCTCAGCAAGCTTCTGGCTTGAGAAGGTGGGAACGACAGCTGTGAGCTGAATGTGAGAATGTGAGAAGAGCAAGGGCAGCCACAGGGAAAACGTAATGCGACAAGCAGCTTGCAAAATCAGTGCCAATTTTTGTGGGAATCGTTTGCCTTGGGCCCGGGATGTTCGTAGGGGATGTTCGTAGCCTCCCACGTTGGAATCGTAGGACCTCCGGGTGGAGAACAAAGTGATTTAAACAAGTTCCCTTGGGTGAGTTCCATGGTGGCAAGGCAGGACCACCAGAACACAAGATCCAGTTTTTTGGGTTCCATTCTGGGATGTTTTTTTTGTTGACTCCAGATTAATCAACCCCAGCTTATTAATCAGGGGGTGGGCTCCCCTCCACCCCCCATATTCATTAACCGTTTTTTGTTAATCCGGGGTCAACATGGATGTGGCTCAAAATGAAACAGCTGGGGTTACGCAGGTTTTGGTCCATGTTTCCACTTACCAGGGTTCCATATGGGTACCGGTTTTTCGAGCCGCAGCCACATTACGAGGAAATTATCGGGGAACCGACCACCCAGATCCCTCGATCCCAGGCGCGCAGCAGAGATCTGGATGCTGGGCTGGCCTGTCGATCGCTTCCGGAAACCTTTTGGGTGAACATGGAGCTCAATACATCTTACGGGGTCCCCCCAAAAAGAGATTCCTCTAAACACGGTTCCATGGTTCATGCACTTCAACCTTTTTGGGAAGACCATTTTAGCGGTAAATCACAAGTGGGGAGTCGCGACGTGGGCTAAACAGGGTTCCATAGGTTTTTCCCAGCTGAACGCTATGGGGCCCAGATAGGGTCCGGGGTGGTCCGGGCTGAGGAGAGTTGTGGGGATTCCCCCTTCATTCTGCTGGGGATATCCCCTGAGCTTATTTGTTTTTTTTTGCTGGGGAGCATCATAAATTGGTTGACCGAACCCCTCAGCTAAGTGCACTTGCGCACTTGCCACTCCCGGGTACCCCTTTTTGTGACCAAGTACTGCCGGAAACAGAATTCGACTTTGTCCCTCACTTTTGAGGGATTTAAGGGTGCTTTTAAGCATCCCTCTTTGAGGATCCCTCTGTTGGGCCCCGTCAAATGCTGGACATGTTGGGCCTTTGTTTTCCCTGTTTTTTAATTCGGGGGGGGGGTGCAGAAACATGTCAAGCCCCATTGCGTCAAGGCCAGCGGGCCATTTAAAGCGGACCCCGGACAACCTCAACTCACCGCCCGGCCGCACCCGTGCCGGGTGTTTGCTTTTGGATTGATAGGAATGGGGAATTCATCCCCCCAGCCCGAGCATTGGGGACAACCCATTTTCCTGGGTGAATTATAGCGACCTCACACGACCGAATTCACCCAAAATGGTGGTTTATTTGGGGAATAGCCCCCCAACCACCTTATTTCAGGCTGGTGAAATATTATAATTCACCCAGATTGTCTGGTCCAACCATAAAGTGTTTGGACCAGTCGCCTTGTGGATATGGGGTTCAGACATCCTTGTGTCAGCTGCCAGTGAGAAATAGTCCAGAGTCCAGCCTGGACCCCATTCCCATTTCGCCCGTGGTAGTTAACAAGGAAGGGAAGGGAGAAGCCCCAAGGCAGCAAAGAAGAAAGAACCGGAAGGAACATTCTCCCCCCGAACTCCCCCCACCCCCCCCTCCTCCCCCGTGTCCTTTTGCTTTGCACAAAGTCCCACTTCCGGAGGCCCGTTTCGGACGGTTGATCACTTTTTGGATTTAGACCATCCCGGATGGAAATACATTCAAAATCCCCAAACAAAAGTCGGCACTAGTTTGGGTAAAGGTCATCCAGTTTGGGCATTTTTGTTGGGCCAACCCACAGTTTAGGGCCGCGTTCCGTTTCGTGGGTGCCAAGGAGCCATCGAGAGCACCGGGGCGCCGCTCAGCCGTCGCGCATCCAGCAGCCAGATGCTCAGGTCAAATTGGGTAAACAGCCTTTCATTTAACAAATCTAAATCTGTAGCATGTTTTATATGGAGTTGTTTTCGTATATCTACAAGATTCTAAAAGGATTAGCGCATTTTAGGCCCCTCGTTGATTCTTTATGGCATTGCACAAAGAAACTGCGGTGCCGCAATCCACCAGGGAGTCGGACAACAGAATGGGCTGAAAGGTATTTTATGGCAGGACTGACCAAGTCAGAAGGGGATGCTTCCCCCATCCAGTTCCTGCCTGTGTGTTTTCGACGCATAAAGGGAACCCCTTCCGCTCTTGAAACCAGGTCCCGCGATTGTCAGGGCCCCCTTAATTCTCCCAAAAAAGGACCTAAACAATTCCTACCGCCAAATCAATTGGTTTAGAAGTAGGTTGTATGCCGGGACAAAAAATGAGTTTCCATTTTTATCTAGCTGCTAGATGTCCATTTGATTATAGCTGGAAAAAAAGTGGATGTCCATTTGGTTGATATAGCATTGCTGTGTTTGATAGTCTGGTGCAATTTTACTGGATGTCACTGTCCATTTGATTTGGTATTGCTGGATTTGACTACGGTTGTCGATTTTTTGCATTTTTCGTTGTATTTGAGCATCGCCTTGACAACTCTCAGATGAAGAGGGGATGTTTGGGTGGCGTTGTAGTTGGAACGCGGCTCGTAGATGGCCGTGTAACGAACACCTATTTTATCGATTTTTGATCTTGCAGCGGACGTCGGCATGACTTGGACGGTGTTCCGGGGGAGAGGGGGGGGGGGGGGTCGTTTTTTTTTTTGGGGGGGGCAAGTGATAGTGGCGGTGTCGACAGTGTCACGGCAGGCCTGTTTCTTTCTAGCTGCGCAGATCAAGCGGCAGGTTCTCGAACCCCTCCACGTCAATGCCATTCCTCGGGGTCAAGCTGTTGTCACATCCGAGAGTACCAGGACACCATCCAGGCCACGGGTGTGGGAAGAACACTGGCCAGGTTTCATTGCTTGCTTGCGGCAGACGGAGGCGGAGGCTGGCAAAGCATGGCGGCAGAAGGTGGTGCTTTCCAAGAACGTGGAGGTTGACGGCAGCAGCCTAGGAAAGTTCTTTAGTGCAAACGCTTTGCCGCGCAAATCAAGGCCCTGAAGATCAAGATTCACAAAGCTGGCAACCCAATGCCGAAAGCTTTCTGTGTGCATGTGCAAGCGCTTGCCGCAGTCCAACGCGCAGGTCCTGCGATTTTGTCAATGGGCGCGCCAAGGGTGACAATTCCAGGAAGCAGGCCTCCCACAGAATCTCTGTCTGAGATTCGCGAGAGCAAGCTCTTGCAGCATGTTCAACGGAAGGGGTCCGTTGTTTTCAGTGATGGCAATGTGTCCTGGCGATCACAGGCCAAAGCACGCTCTTTGAAAGCGGCATGGGTGAACCATCAAAACAAGCAGTGGACAAAGCGCCAGGGTCCATCCAGAAGCCGGCCCGCGCAAGTGTCTGCAATTGCAGGCACGCAGGTGGTAGACCGCCTGTGGAAATCTCTCAAGATGTGGGTGCCGCGAACTTTCCCCCGGAAAGTTGGCCATAGGGGAATTGTCCAGAGAACATGATGATCTGAGAGCTCTGGTCAACCAAGTCATGTATCCGAAGACGCCTGAACAGCTTTTGCTGCAGCTCCAGAAGCTGTTTTGAGCCACCCACTCTTTGTTTGTATCTGTTTGATGCAAGATAGCGGCGATGCTTGCAACACCTCTGCTTCAACAACAAACATCTTCTGGCCTATTTTTGGGTGACTGAATCCTGAATTATTTTAGTAGTTTTTCCAACCCCTCGGTCAAGCTCTTTCAAACACCTTCGCGCAGCTTGCAGTCAAAACACAGGCAGGCGCGGAGCGTTGGCGGAGAGCCGGGATCGTGTCGTTGGTTGAAAACACCACGGCCATCTACAAGCCGCGCACCTTGTAGTTGGTCGGTCCCAGGAACAGTTTTAAGGGAAGTCATTCCGTGGCCTTTGCCGCCCTCGAAAAGGGCATCCTCAAGCAAGATGCGCAGTTGGGAGAGAATAGGCAGTCAAACCAACTGAAATAATAGATTGGTTTGAGGGCTGACTCCCCATTCCTACGCATCGATCTCTTCAGCAACCGATTTCCAATTTTCCCAGGGAGATTTGCCAATTTGTAGGGAAGGATCCCTCCCCGAGAAGGATCCTATGTTCTGCGTTCCGATGTGTGCTAAACAAGGGGACTCACCGGGCAACTGAATTCTATCGTTGCGCGATTCAATTTGGTCAAGACCGGTTGTGGTAAACCGTGCCTAAGTATGTTGCAATCGTAGAATACCATGTTTTTGCTGCTCCGCTTTTTTGTTAGTGGCGAGCTCACCTGCAGTACAATTAGCTCACCGTTATGTTATTTTAGATGTTGGGCTACTTGAATTCACAGTAGAGGGGGTTGACTGAAAATGGGGAACCCCAACTTGGTTTTCCTTGGACCCACCCACAAAGGGTACCCACAAAAAGACAAACCATCCATAGAAGGTAGGTGCAAGATCCCCTCCAAGAATCTTGGACTCTGCCCAGTGGGTTGCTTCCCGCTTTCAACTTGTTTTGGGTAAAGGTTCCCCTAACTCGACCAACCGAAAAAGGGTGCCTTTTTTTCCCACTGGGGCATCTGGAAGTGGACCGTTTACCAACAGGAAAACCCGGTTGCACATCACAAGAAGGGCATGTCCCGTGAGGTCGGCAGAGAGCCTCCCTTTCGCCTTCGCCTCGCACTGCTTTGGGCTTAGTTCATCCTGCGGGAACCCGCATGTCCCGTGCACTCACTTCCTGAGTTCCGTTTCGGACTTTATACCTTTTGGGAGAACAATGGTGGCGAGCAAAAAGTTTGGACCTTTTTTTTGGCCAATCCACTCA